AGGACAGAGCGGAGTTTAGGGCTGTTGTACATAGGGTCGCTATGAGTCGCAGGCGACTCGACGGCACATAACAACAACAACAACAACACTAGTTAGAGTACTAAGGTGCATCTGACTTAGGCTTTTCAACAACCTATGTTATGCAGATGATACAACCTTTCTTGCTGAAACTGAGGAGGGCCTGAAGCATTTGCTGCTGAAGGTCAAGGACTGTAGTCTGCAATATGACTTGAAGCTCAATATCAAGAAAACAAAGATTCTCACCACTGGGCCAATTGGCATCATCATGATAGATGGTGAAGAGATTGAGATTGTTAACAATTTTAGCTTGCTTGATTCCACAATCAACACTCTTGGAACCATTAGTAAAGAAATCAAAAGATGAATTGCATTAGGAAAATCTGCTGTCAGGGACCTCCCCAGAGTAATAAAGAGCAAAGATGTCAGCCTACAGAGTAAGGTATGTATGACCCAGGCCATGGTCTTCACAATTACTTAGCATGCATCAGAGAGCTGGACAATGACCAAGGATGACAGAAGAAGGATCAATGCCTTTGAGTTGTGATGCTGGAGAAGAGTATTGAACACACCATGGATTGCCAAGAGAACTAACAGGTCTGTCCTAGAGAGGGGGAAACCAAGCTGCTCCTTGGAGGCAAAGATTTTGAGGCCCCGTCTCACATACTTTGGGTATGTATCTAAGATGGACCAGTCTCTTGAGAAAGGTATCACTGTTTTGAAGGGTCAAGGGACATCTAGAGAGAACAGAAATACTCAGGCAAGATTTCAAAGCCTTTACTATAGAATGCTTCATCTAAATCCTCTCCTCCACCTCCGTAACAAAATCTTCAATAAAGTTTTCATTGCTCACTAGAGAGCCTGACAAAGGAGAAGTCAGGTGGTATCTGGGTTATAGCTGCTGGGGGAAAGATTCCATAGGCACAAAGGTCCTTCCTTGTTCTTCTGTGTTACTCACAAAGAAACATCACAATGTCGTACTTAATGATTATGAATGACATCCTCACATACTGCATAATATAAGGCTCTTTAAAATGGATATGTATTAAATAGTACTGCTAGCAATCATATTAACTGGAAAGAAGAGGAATTAGACAGGGCAGGGAGAAGGGCCATATCTGAAGTTGGAGTTAATCACTGTTCTGCTTATTTGTGGTTAGTTAATGAAACCAGTAATTGCTCAGCAACTATAACATGTACTTCCATAAACAATACCAGGCCAGTATAGTTCAGTGTCAAGGTACTAAGGTTTATCGTGGGGGAGAAAAGGGTCCATTGTGTACTTATTATTCCAATCTCTTTCTGAATTCCAGTTTTCCACTTTTGTATCATGTTGCCATCTTCTAAAATAACAAATTAAAGAAAACACACACTTCTTTTAAAAGCAGCAGCCTAGAAAAGCAATCAGCCATCAACTTAAATAAAACGAAACTATCAATTTGCTTGAATTCCAGGAGTGAAATAAATAAAGCTCTGTTGGAATTTACCTACACAAATTGAGACTTTAGGGGGATGAGAGAAAATGTTCAGCTTCTTTTTTTCTTCTTAGATTTGTTTACTAAGTAAACCCTAGGGTTTCTGCATCTTATAATGTGTCTACTGATTAAAAAGATATATGGTTGTTTATTAATGCTCTCAAAGCACTATGCAAATTCATATCACCTTGGGTATATTTTGCCCTTAAAGCTTTGAAGTAAATATGGAAACATTTTGTAGTTAACAAGGCTAAAATATGTTAATTTAAATATATTGCTCTGAATAGGGTTTTCCTTTAAACCATTAATGATAAAATGATGAGAGCTTGGGTGGCCAGGCATGAAATATAAATGAGAAGCTGTTTTTTTGTGATTTTTAAAACACATTTATCATTTTACGTCACCTGGTGTTCAGACTTAAATTTGATATTGCAGAAAATGACCTTACCCTTTACATTAAGTACTAAGGAACAGCATAGCTTCTGCCCCAGATATTTTAACAGCAGTATTGAAAGTATGACTTTTAAGTAGCATTTTCAAATGGCTGAGTGAAAAAAATTATAAAAAAAGCTTGCCAGCCCTTTATCTATACATACATACACACACAGTATTATGGTGTATATTTTTAACATTACATATGTTCTCTATACATGTTTATAATGTTTAATTAAAAATAAGATGTTAGAGCAAAGCAGAGACAAATTTAGAACCTCTTAAAATGGATGTAAACTTATCAGTGAAATTCCTGCATAGCCCTATAATGAAGATGCATATACAGCATATATACACGTACTTTCTCTTCTAAGCAGCAGCATATGGTTTTTTAAAAATAAAACCGACTTAGCAAAACTTCTTTTCAGCCTTCCAGCATCTAATGAGCCTCTGACTGTAGAATGGCAACCAGACTATTCCTAGGTGGCGGGTGAGCAGTGCCAAATGCAGTAGCAGACTCAACGAAAATCGAGGTGGACACTTGTCCTTGGCTTGACCATTCGATCAGCAGATATTTACAAATAAAAGGCAATTAAAATGCTACATTTAAAACCCTACGCAATTAGCCACATTTACCGCCTTAATTAGGGGCGCTCTGGTTACCTAATGCACAGCAAGTTGTGCTACTTAGCCAGAAAGCTGCAGGGCGCCGGCCGTTCAAAGTCACCTCTTAAATCCATCTGAGGGAGAAAGACGGACAATCTCCTATTAGGAGTAACAGTATCATTGATTCTGTGATGATAAACTTTTCCATTTAAATGCTGCTGCCCCTTTAAAAAAATAACAAAGCTCAAAGGGAGCTCTGGTGGCCTAGTGGCAAGAAACTGCACTGCAACCGCAGAGATACATGGTTCGAGTCCACCAGATGCTCTGCTGGAGAAGTTGGGGCAGTCTCTTCCTGTACCAGTCAGATCTGATTTGACGGTACATGCACAAAAAATAATAAAATAAAAATTAAAAAAACAACAAAGCTCAGATGTCACAAATTTCTATCAAACAGTAATAAGAGATGAATTAATTTAGTAACCTTGGGTAACTATTATAACTGTCCCAGTGTTTCAAGTGTTCTAAGATTTGGGCTCTTTTACAGAGATAAACGACATTCAGGGCAAAGTTAGGCAATGATTCAAGCTAATACTAACTGCTGTGGAGCTGGAACCAACTCATAGCTGAGCCTCCAAAGGTTTTCAGATAGGCTTTAAATAGCGCGAGATGAGATGGCTCATCTTTCTGCTGTGGAGCCATTGGTGATTTTAACCCGCCAGAGAGGCGCCCCTTTGGATAAGCAACGCAACTACCGCCGGGCTATGCTACGATGTATGCGCATGCGCGATGGAGTCAGAACTGAGTCATAGTTGACCCTCGAGTAGGTTTTCAGAGGCTACAAATTGCATGAGAGGCGAATGCTCATCTTTCTCCAACGAAGTGACTGGTGGATTCAAACAGCATGCATTTAGGTTGGAGCACAACTTCTTACCTTTAGGCCACCAGGGCCCTCAAGCAATAGCTAGACTATGCCCATCTTACTTTAAAAGCATTTTCAGACTCATTGATTCATTTCCGCCTAGTGACCGTCTATCTAGTCTCTGATGCTGTACATTTTTCCGGGAGGAGCCTGGCCATCTTCTTCCTTCCCTTTCCTTCCTTTCTGCTCATCTCCCCAGGAGTTAGTTACTTTGAACTGCCTACATTTTAGTGAGCCGCCCTATGGGTTTCTGCACCATGCCACTATATGTGGTGGTGCAGTGGCCAAAGCATTCTGTTTGCTAACCCAAAGGCAGGGGTTTGAACCCACCAGCTGCTCAGCAGCAGAAAGACGTGACAGTTTGATCCTATAAGGACGAACAACAGCAGCAGCAACAACAACAAAACCCATAGTCAGAACTCAAAATGACCCAGTAGGACAGACTAGAACTGCCCGTATGGTTTTCAATATTATAAATCTCTATGGAAACAGACTGTCACATCTTCCTCCAGAAGTGGAGTGCACTCTACCTCCAGGGGTCCTTTGCCGCCTTGGGAACCCTAAGGGGCACCTCTATTATGCCCTATAGGGCTACTATGAGTCAGAATCAATTCTACAGCAACCAGTTAACTATGCTTTACTTTGGAAGGATAAAAGTTAAACTCCGCCTTTCAGAAGTGTACCCCTGTATTTGTTAGACTGTGAAGAGAGAGCACTGCTACAGGGGAACACACCCTTAGCAACCATCACATTGCACTGAGAATATTCTGGAACCATCGCCGTCAACCGCTGCTACCCTGCCGGGAAGAGAAATGAAATTCAGCAAAAGCGGCAGCTTTTAGGGTGAGATACACGGTTTGCCTGTTAGAACTCTTTTTCTACTGGAATGGGTTTACAGAGGGCTACATTCCTCTGGAGCTTTAAATCTGTGGACTGTTGAATATCACTCCGCCTTTTTTGAAGTTACAAAATACTTTCTATCGATAGGGACGCGGGAATTGAAAGTTTGGAAATTAAATGCCTAAAACTTGAGCCCACTCAGATGACACATGCAATAGCATTCCTTGAAGAATTTGTTCAGCCCAGTCCTTTGCATTTTCTTACCCAAGGCACAGAAACTCTGGGACTCCAAATTTTGCACACACACACACACACACACACACACACACACACACACCCAAAAAAAAGGAGGGAAAACGCAAGGGTGTTACTGCAATGCCAGGACATACTAAGAGCCAATTTGTTACAAGTGTATCCATCCTCCCCAGCACCAAAGACTTATGGGACGTTGCTCATCCCAGCTCCACTGAGCTAGGCTCTTAGTCGTGGTGGTTGTGCTATGAAGACAGACACGACCAAGCTGATCGAGAAGATGCTGCGCACTCCCAAGTGTTCTCGGTGCCGGAACCACGGCTTCCTGGTGCCAGTCAAGGGCCACGCGGGCAAGTGCCGCTGGAAGCAATGCACCTGCGAGAAATGCTACTTGATCAGCGAACGCCAGAAGATAATGGCTGCACAGAAAGTGCTCAAGAAGCAGTCTGCCGAGGAGGAGCAGGAGATGGCCGTTTGCACTCGACAGGGGCCTGACCCAGCCACTGGGGCCGCGGCTGCCACCCCGGGCTCCAGCCTCTGCTCGCTGCAGCCCGCCGCTTCGGGGCCCTCGGAGCTCAGACCCCACGGCCGCACGGCCTCCAGCTTTCCTGAGAGGCCCCCGCGGGGTCCGAGCCCAGGCCCTAGTGCTTTCCACCCGGTTGTGAGTAGCCGTGGCCACGTGGGGCCGAGCGAAGGTGCAGCGATGGCCAGCTCTGTAGGGCCGGCTCTGGAGACGGAGGCCGTGGGCAGGGGATGTCCCGCCAACCAGGACTTGCGCCGGCCTTTTAGGCTGGTGCCCAACCCGCCCTACGCTGATTTCGGTAAGATTTCTCAGCCCCATGTGACTGTGGGTTGGCCGACCAGGCAAGCTTGCATGCGGTGGCCATGTGCTGTGGAGTGGGGAAGGTGGTGGAGGGGTAGCAAAATGTTCTCTGTAGTTTCTGAGAAACCCTTCTCAGAACAGAGATGTGGGTTTGAACACGTTTTTGCAGGAGGAGAAGTGTGTGTGTGGGGGGAAGTAAGTGTTTCTAGAGAGATTCTAACACCCAAGGTTTTGCCACTGTTTTGCAAGAAAAAATGGCTCCCATAAAAGGTTGGTGCCGTTTCCGCCCTTGGGCTGGAAGTTCCTCTCATGTCGGAATGGGGGGGTGGGGAGGCAGTCAGCTAAAACTGCGCCGGCGCAGCATTTTCTCCCTTCCCATTGGCTGGAAGCTCTTCACAAGGGGCTCCTCTGCTTGCTGGACCAATGCGCCTGCGCAGCCTTTCCCGCTCTTTTTTACAGTGTGGTGGAAACGAGGCTGTTTCTCTGCTTTCCTCACTTACATGGGAGGGAATAGGTGATATTCTCCCCTTCCACCTAGTGCATAAGTTGTAGCATTCTGTATGTCTCAATGCTTTCCGTTTGTTATGTGCCATGGGGTCAGGACGACTCAAAGCTGACCCTCTAGTGGGTTTTCAGAGGTGGTAAATCACAAGGGAGGAGATTGCACATCGCAAGTTGGAGAGCATTAGTAAAGTACAGTTTGAAACATTTAAAAAGTGACTCTTTAAGGTTGCAGATATGTGTGTTCTTGATTATTTTCCCTTTGAGCTTGTGGTATAAAAACAGGGGTTTGAGTTCAGTTAGGTAGCAGGCTGCCCACCCTTAAATCATAAATAAGCTCCTTGCTTCTGTATATCAATCTCTGGATACAGAGAGGACAGGCGGTGAATGCTTTCAGAAGATTGTTCCTATTTTCTGAAGCATTTTAGAAAAATCTAAAAGTCCCAAGAGAACAGTTGTCTGATGGAGAAGACCAACTTGGAAATAATTCTAGAAAGGACGCTTTGCCGAGGTCACAGCATGCATTTCTGTGTGCAGTGTCTAGCAAACTTAGCACTTGCTATGTACCACACACTAGTGATAAGTGGGGAGAAGAAGCCACATTCTCTAAGCTTAAGGATGTCATTCTGATGGCAGTTTTTGTTGTTGGGTGCTCTCCAGTCAACTCCCAACTAGCTCCCATCAGCAACCATGTGGATAACAAAACACTTATCTTGTACCGTTCTTATGATCTCTGCTGTGCTCAAGTCCATTCTTGCAGCCTCTATAAGTACACCTTGTTGAGAATTCTGTTTCTGACCACTCATATCATCTTTCTCCAGGAAAAATAACATTAATAAAATCACACAAACCAGTGTTTAACATAATAGTGGATGCTTTAATTGGGATCTAATGGAAGAGTAGGACTTGAGGCAAATGGGGTTAGCAGAGAAAGCTTTAAAAACCAAGGGAACAGCATCTGCCGAGAATTTGACATGCATTATAAACAGACTACTAGATAATGGTCCATGGTAAGGCTGGAGTTGAGGCAGGACCCAGACTGTAACGGACTTTGTAGGCCATTCTGAGGCTCTTTCTAAGCAGTAGAACATGGTTGGCAGGCTCTAAAACAGGGAAGTGGTTGAAAATTTGGGGATGGATAAGGGTGATAATGATTGAACACAATAGAAATTAATGTCACTGAATTGTACACATAAAGAATGTTTGAACTACAAGTATTTTGTTACATGTATATATTATTTAACTAAAAATAAAGAAGAAAAAAATGATTTTTAAAAAAGTAGTGACGATCGAAGACATAGTGATTGTGGGTTTGTAAATGGTTGTGAATTTTGTTTTACTGCCTCTCTACCCCCCCCCCCATATGCCTCTCATGCATCCCTCATTGCTTGTCTTTTTCAGGGCGCCCAATGAGCATGAATTCTGATGGTGTGGAGTCTGAGTACCTAGAGAGAGAGCCTTCCAAGCTGTACCCCAGTGGCTGTAGTGTGCAGCCCTACCGCCCATTCCCACTGGGCTACCAGGATGTGCCCCCCGCCCCGGGGATCCCTCTGCAGCAAAGCTTCCGGCATGTGTCCTGCAACTCCTGCTGTGGAGGAGGCTTGGTGAGTCCCATCCGTGCCTCCTTTCCAGACTGCCTCCTTATCTCAGCCACCTTTAGTGATCCTCAGTCTAGAAAGCCAGTTGTCATAAATGATGTATGTCAGGTTCTGTGCCCTGATGAGAGGGATACAACACATCCTTAACTTATGATGCTAAAATACTAAACCTGTTGCTGTTAACAGTTCTGTCTCATGGTGACCCATATGTTACAGAGTAGAACTGAGTTACATAAGGTTTTCTTGATTGTAGTCTTAAAGATACAGATGGTCAAGCCTTTCTTCCATGGGTGGGTTAAAATGGTTTGAGTTTAGTAGACAAATACAAACAGCTGGTACTACTCTGGGGTCTGCTGATGCTAGAAGGGATGGACCTTCAACTTGCTAGGGACTAGACGGAAGATGTCACCCATTAGCTACAGTACTTAAGGCAGAATCAGATTCAAGTTCCTGGCCCACAGATAGGGTCTATCGGAGACTGTAGAGGGTTTTCAGGAGATGGCATCTGAGCTCAGTAATGAAAAATAGAGAAACCTTCCTGGGATACCTGTCACGTTGAAAATGTTGGGAGGGAAATGAGCAAATTATAATCTTTTTATAAGATGGGTTATCAAATACTAATGAATATGTTCTTTGAACCTGGAGTTTTGAATGCCAAGTGTATAAGACTGAGGTCATGCCTATAGTATGATGAAAGCAGGATGTACCTACTATATAAGGTAGATTGTGTGCCATCAAGTCAGAACTGACCCATAGTTGGCCTGTTAGCAGCTTTTCAGAGGCAGAAAAGTCTTTATCTTTCTCTCGCAGAGCAGCAGTGGCTTTCAAACTGCGTACTTTTGTGTTGGCAGAGCAATTTCTTATACTAAGGCACTAGAGACTTTATGAGCTTGGACCTTCTATGTCAGGATAGTTAAAAATGAAAGGTCTTTTCCTCTTGGTAGATTCTAAAGTACATGAGCCTACAGGTCAGTGAAAAGGCCCAGTGGCCTGACCTAATTTTGCGGAGGCTGTTTCAAATGAGTACAGGTTCATGGAATTAGGGACCAGTGTGACCTTTTGTGAGAACAGAACAGGGGGACACTGCATAGTTTAAAATTAAGAAGGAAGTGTGTCTCTCTCCATAGCTAATCTGCATGATGAGCAAATTATTAAAAAAGAAGGACTCTATTGAGAGGAATGTGGCATCAGGATTGGAAGGAGACTCATCAATAACCTGCATTATGCAGATGACACAAGCTTGCTTGATGAAAGTGAGGAAGACTTGAAACATTTGTTGCAGAAGACCAAAGAATGCAGCCTTTGGTATAGATTGCATCTTATTGTGAAGAAAAGAATTTTTACCACTGGACCAGTAAGCAACATCATGGGAAACTCTACAGTTAGGGATCTCTCCAAATTACTGAGGAGTCATGATGTCAGTTTGAGGACTAAGGTGTATCTGATTCAGGCCATAGTCTTTCCGATCACTTGCTATGCAGCTGAGACCTGGACAGTGAATAAGGATGACAGAAAAAGAATTGACGCCTTTGAGCTGTGGTGTTGGAGAAGAGCAATGAACATCTCATGAATGGTCAAAAGAACAAACAGATATGTCCTGGAGAGGATGAAGCTGGAGTGCTCTTTGGAGGCAATATTGATGAGCCTTCGCCTCTCATACATAGGGCATGTTGCTAGGAAGGGTGGAGGGTCAGTGAAGGAGAGGAAGACCCTCAACCAGGTGTACTGATGCATTGATTGCCACGATGGGCTTTCATGTGTCAGAAAGTGTGAGGATTGTATAGGATAGAACAGGGTTCAGATCTTTTGTTCATAGGGTCACTTTGAGTCATACTCGTCTCGATGGCACCTCACAACAAGAACAACAGCAGGACCTTTATTCCTTTCCTTGGAGCTGAGAGCTAACCCTGGACATCTTCTGAGATACTTCATTTGGGCAGAGGGTAGAAAGGAACGAGGGCAGACTTCTTTGATTTAATATGGAAAATGTTAGAAGATGAAAGCTTGACATTTACTGAATGCCAGATTTCATTAGTGCAGAGCTTGGAGCCAGTCCTGTGGGGCTCCTGCTGTGTCTGGACAGGCCAAGCACACAAAAAGGGTCCTGAGTCCCCATGCCTGCTTCAGCTCCAGCAGGGCCACCTCTGCCTTTTGTAGCTATTGTTTTTATTTAAGCCATTTCCAACTGATTCAAGGAGGTAAATTTGGAAACCACTGGTCTGGATTATTTCTGGAGGATTTGCTGATCCTCTTGTGTACCCTGAAGGGAGTAGCCAGTACCTTATTCTAGAGTCAAGCAAACAGGCTCAGAAAAATTAAGGGATTGTTGTCCAGTGCCCTGGATCTGAAGAGTGATGGATTGAGATCAGAGCTGTGCAGCTGGTTGGTGATAGAGCCAAGATATGTACCTTCTGCTGCCCTAAGTGTGAATCATACCAGTGATCAGGTAAATAAAAATCTTTGATGCTCATTCTCATCCCTTCCCCACCTGAAATCTGTGGGTACTGCCTTTCTCGGCCGGCCATCCCACTCAGAGAAAGCAAGGCGTCTCCAGCCTCCACACAAAGACAGGAGCTAGCCAAGCAGAGCCCACACCGTCTGCTCACACAGAAGCCCAGAGCGTGCCGTCCAGGACGGGGTTCTGATTGACGGGCCTGCCAGACGGCCTTTGTTAGTAGTGTGATCTCAGTCAGTTTCTCTGGGCCCGAGCTGCCACCATAGGCCCCAGGCAGGAGCTGTGATCCAGAAAGAGACTTGGCTGAGCAGCTTGGAATTAAAACACTAATAATTCCTCCTCCCACCCCTTCCATGTCTGGACAGAAGATCAGGCTTTTGTTAGGCTTGTTTCAAACTCAAGAGTCTATGAATTACTTTGATCATTGTCCTGCTCCTCTGTTGCTGTCCAGGCTCCGAGTTACTCTCCAGAGACTTCTTCCTCCTTCCTGTGTCTGTCCTGCACCCCTGCTGCTGCTTTGTGTCTGTCTTCTCTTTATAGAAGAGCACACACTGGAGTTGGAAAGACCTAGACACCAAGCTTAACATCCATCAGTTAGTAGCCAGATGTAGCTTGGGAGGTTACCTAACCTCCTAGCACCTTACTCAGTTTCTTAATTTGTGAAATGAGGATAAGGTGCCTATCTTTTTGGGCTGTAGAAGAAATTAAATAGGGTGTAATGTGTGGATGGTACCCAACACAGGATCTTGCAGATAATTGTTGTTAAAAATGGTCTTTCCTCCCTCCCTTATGGTCAAATAAAGTTATGAAGTGCTGCCTTAATCTAGACACTTTTGCAGTGGGCCAAGACCCTTTACTGTGTCCATGTGCAGCTCTCCAGATTGAAAACAGCATACCATGGTTCTCAATCTCACTTAGGATATTTTTTCCTCACAATACAGCTTGCTGCATCCAATATTTGTTACTAAATTTTATTACACTTATGTCTTTCCCATTTAAACTGTTTTGAGTTTTGTAGCCAGCGTTCTTCTAAATCCTCTTATTTTAGTTCTTGCACTTTGCTTCTAGAACATTTACTGGGGAAAAAACCAGATCAAGACCAGAAACACAGACATGTCTATTTAAGAACTGTGTAAATGAAGCTTTTTCCCATGGTCACCCAGTTTTTTCCCCCTCAGTAACAACTGACTAGAACCAGGTTGCTGGCCTTGACCATATTAGAACAGGGCTCCCATAAAGGCCCTGTGGATACTTTTTAAGTCATTACCTATGCTAGGAAATGGATCATGTTGGGAGGAGTTCAGACTGCCCCAGGACAGAGCAGTGGGGTGCAGTTACCAGCTTTGTGGGCTGTGGAAGCAGACCTGGAAACTGATTTGTCTGCCTCACACCAGCCCTGTCACTTTGGGCCTGTCTGAATCTAGTTTTCATCAGAACAGTTAGGGAGGTAGTAGGACCTACCTCGCCATGTTTCAGGATCTAATGAGGCAGTGATCTAAACATAATTGTGCCAGGCCATAGGGAAGAGCTCAGGCCATGATAGCGTCACATAGCCTTGGTTTTTCTTTAGCTCCTCAGAGGTATGCTTAGATTCCTTCCTGCCTTGGATCATTTGTCACAGGTTTGCCAATCACCCTGTTCTTGTCCACTGTGCCTGGGCATTCCAGAACATAAAGGCAAATCCACCTCGTGAGTGTAAGTCGTCCTGGTTTAGAAGAGTAGGAGACACTCAGGGAGCTCTGGTGGTGTAGTCTGTAGGGAGTTGCACTGCTAACCTCAGTGACACTGTTTGAATCCACCAGCAACTCAACAGAGAAAAAAGCAAACCAAAACCAGGCAATCTCCTGTGCAATTGACAGTGTCTGAAAACCTCCTAGAGGGTGAGCTATGAGTGAGCTCAGACTCGAGAACAATGACTTTGAGGGTTTTGTAGGAAACATTTTGATCAGCCTATCTGGGCTAACTAACCCCCTTTTGTGACTTTTCTGCTATGCGTGCTGTACAGATGTCGGAACCAATAAGAAGCTACCATTCCAACTACTACCCTCCTATGCCACCGCCTCAGCCCCAGTTCCTCCCTACGGGCTTCCTCTCTGCACTTCATTTTCTCTCACCACGGCCGCCGCCGCCGCTGCCGCCGCCGCCGCCACCACCACCACCACCACCACCACCACCACCACCATCACCTTTCTCACTGAACATCCTGTCCGACTTGGGCAAGAAAAACACTGGTAAGTGAGCACTGTTCTTCCAGAAATCGCTTAGGAGAGCCAGGAAGACTCCTTGGAGAAAGAGGAGGAGCCCAATTTGAAATAAGGGAAGAAATGAGGCATGCTGGGCCCTGAGATAAGCCCTTTCTTCAACTCCTTGCCCTGCCTCCATAAACAAACATCTTGTTCTTGTTGAGTATCAAGTTAGAACCAACCTGTAGCGAATTTCAGAGGTAGTTAATTGCGTGGGAGGAGATTTCCCAACTTTCTCCCATGGAGAAGCTGGTGGATTTGAACCTCATACATTTAGGTTGCCAGCCAACTCCTTACCACGAAGCCACCAGAGCTCCTTTAAGCAAGCATCATAGGGAGGTAAGTTAACATTCTCAGGCTGAGGGAGCCAGCACCCTAAGAGAGTCTTGTACATAGAAATGGACTGACTGGTATTTGAACAGAGTTCTCTGGTTCCAAGCCCAGTGCTGGACAGAGGTACAGGAGACCACATGCATGTGGTGTGCCGAGTCCAGAGGGGCCCATCTTCTCCCAGTGAGGAAAGCAGCACTTGGGGCTGTGGGGAAATTCTTCAGCCCCTGACCTCCCTGGAAAGAACACCAGACTAAGGTTGGACACCTCCCTTCACAGATCTGCCACTAATGGGCTTGGTGACATTGGGCCCTTGACACCCTCTGCCCTCAGTCCTCTTGTCTGTAAAATGCACAGGGATTCTGTAAAGGTCGATGAAGACTTTAATGTGAAAATGCTTTTTTTGAATGTTGTTTTGTTGGCTTTTGCAGCTTTAAAAGCTCTAGAATTTTTTCCTTTCAGTCCTCCCCTAGGGCTCCTACAATTTGGAAAGGGATGGCAAAGCCGATGAGATCCAGAAGGTCCTTTTCTGTTAAACTAGGATCTGTGGCTGCTTCCCAGTCCACTGATGGGAGCTCCAGCCTTTCCTCTTCTTGTCTTAGTGAGTAGCCCAGCTAAGAAGGGTAGGGCTGGAGTCCTCCTGCTGACGATCACAGCACCAGCTTCGGCGCTTTGCTAAATTGTGCTTGGAACAGAAGATCCTGAGGTGCTGGTGGGAGGCATGGTGACCACTTCTACTTAGTCATCTCCCAGGGACTAATAGTACATTCTAGCCCAGAATGCTGAACCAAACACTGTCATCAGAGACAAGCCTGTTGGATGCTCATCAAGGCTGATTTCTGTGTAAGGACACCTGCAGAAGAGCTAATTTAAATCCATGGCCAGACTTTAGAAGAGAATGTGTTAGAATTATCTGCAAGCTCTGATGAAATTGAGAGCGCCAGACACATCTGCAGGGGACCTTACCCTCTCTGGGACAGCAGGTTGTGATGAGAGTGGGCCCCAGCAGTGCTGGAGAGACCCAAACGTCCTAACGTAAGGAAGTGTTTTTAGATTATAATAAAGCCGTGCCCCACATTTTATTGCCCAGGATCCTCTTTCCTGACAGGCCGGTGACAAGGGCAGACAAAAGGGCCTTGGGAAGCAGCCTAGTGACCAGCAAGCACTTGGCTTAGCGACAGGACAGTATGATGTTCACACGGGGCTCCCATGATGTTTCTCATGCTGCAATTAGCAAAACATTGAGTCATGGAGCTTAATTTCCAGGCAACTCAGTGAAGTAGGTGTTGGTAATAACTGCATTTTATAGATGAGGAGCAAGAGATAAAAGAAGTGCCTTTCCCAGGGTCATGAAGTAAGTAGGGGAACCTGGACTCTAGGACCTGCAGTCTTAGTCACAGAACAGATCTGTCTTAGGCGGGGAGCAGTTGTTGTTGTTGTTGTATACCATACCAACTCATAGCTGACTCTCTAGTGGGTTTTTGGACACAGTAAATCACATGGGAATTGATTGCCCGTCTTTCTGCCATGGAGCAACTGGTGAATTCAAATCAACCACCTTTGTATTGACAGCCCAAAGGTACTCAGTTCAAATCCAAACAGCTGCTCCGTGGGAGAGAGATGGCAGTCTCCTTTTGTGTGATTAACTGCCCCTGAAAGCTCACTGGAGGGTCTGCAATAGGTTAGTTCTGCCTTGATGGCACACAATAGTAACCTTTGTGTTGACAGCATAATTTCTTCTAGGCATTTGACTATATGGATCACAACAAATTGTGGTTGTAGATAAATGAATGCTAATCAGAACAACTGACTGTGCTCATGTGAAATCTGTACCTAGACTGGGAAGCTGTTGTCCAAACAGAGCAAGGGAACATTACATGGTTCAAAATCAAGAAAGGAGTGTGTCAGGGATATATCCTTTCTCCATACCTTTTCAATTTATATGCAGAACACGTCATTTGGGAGGCTGGACTTCATGAAGAAGAATGTGGCATTAGGATTGAAGGAAGACTCATCAACAGTCTGCTTTATGCAGATGTCACAACCTTGCTCACTGAAACTTGAGGAAGACTTGAAGGTTTTGCTGCAGAATGTCAGAGATTACAGTCTTCAATATGGATTGCATTCTCATCAAGAAAACAAAAATCTTTACCACCAGGCCAATAGGCAGCATCATGATAGATGGAGAAATGATTGAGATTGTTGATGATTTCATCTTACTTGGATCCACAATGAACACTCTTGGCACCAGCAGTCAGGAAATCAAAAGACAAGTTGCATTGGGAAAGTCTGCGGTTAGAGAGCTCTCCAGAGTGCTAAAAAGCAATATCAGTCAAGGTGTGCCTGATTCAGGTCATGAGCCTCTCAACTGCTTGTTAAGCATTTGAGTTAGGCAAGACTAAAGATGACAGAAGAAGAGTTGATGCCTTTGAGTTGTGGTTCTGGAGAAGACTATTAAACATACCATGAACTGCCAAGAGAACAAACAGGTCTGTCCTAGAGAGGATGAAATGAGGTTGTTCCTTGGAGGTAAGGATTTTGAAGCTCTGTCTCTCATACTCTGAGCATGTCACCAGAAGGTACCAGTCCTTGGAGAAGGACATCATGCTTGGAAGGGCAGAGAGGCTCACAGCAGAAGAGGAAGACCCTGGATGAGATGTAGTGACATAGTGACTGTGGTAATGGGGCCAGATGTGTCAGAAATGATGAGATTGGTTCAGAATAAGGCAAGGTTGAATAAGGCAAGGTTCATAGATACTGTTCATAGGGTTGTTAGGGGTTTGTAGTTGACTTAATGGCACATCAGCAAGCCACCAGAGCTACCTGAAAGCAAAGTGATTCTTAATTTCAGCTTGAAGAGCAGGTGATGCTATCCTTATTATACAAATGTGACCTCCAGAGGCAAATCTCACTCCTAGTTGGGTGGTTCTTACAGACAGTATGGTCTACTGTGCTATTTCTGAGGCCTGTGCTGGCCTCTTCTCTAACCAAAGTGAAGTTAGGAGGATGCCCTCAGGGCTTATAATCAGCACAGCTCATTGCCAGCCACTGGAAATTAGTACCCTGAGCAGTGAGGTCGCTCTCTCCCAGAAGCATGTGCTACAAGGTAAAACCAACAATATCAATTATACTTGACAGAGAGGAAGTAAAAGTGGGCAGCATGTGTGGTCACAAAGAATTCACTTCCAGGCAGTTGAGAATTCTGGACGCGGTGTTTGAAGTGGGCTCTGGTAGCAGAGGGGCAGGATGTGATCTGCTGTAGCAGTGCCCTGGGAATGTCCTTACTGCTCTGGGCTGGGGAGTGTTTAACTCCTTGGGCTATAACAATAAGAGAGAAAACTAGGAGATAGTAGAAAGACATTGATTCTTAGATTTGAACACAAGCTTGTGTAAGGGACTGGATGGCCTTCTCTGGTGAAAAGAAGGAGCTGAACTGTATGAGCATGTACCAGGAACTGCTATTTGCTTCACGTGATTATGGCTACTTCTGGATTTACGAGTCTTGTTAAGCTGACAAACAATCTTAAGTACTAAGTGAAACCTCCTTCACTTGACTGCAGAGGAAACCAAGGCGCAGGGTTGTGAATGAATTTCCAAGTCCTAGGAATTTATGGGATACCAAGTGACATGTTTCAACAAACAGATGAAGAAATTGGGAAGATAGCTCTCTGGGCATCCAACTCTATGAGATCCATGTGTGTTTCTAGTCCTTAAAACGGTGATCCAAAAGTATGGAAATTATTGAACAATATCATTAATACCACATGCAAGTAAAATCTTGCTGAAGATTATTAAAAACTGGCTACACCAGTACAGAGAACTGCCAGAATTTCAAGCTGTGCACCAGTGATAGTGTTGCATGATGGCAAGTGGATCCTGCTAAAAGCAGAGAATACCAGAAGGATGCCAGTTTGTGATTATGTAAAGGCATTTGTGTGGATAATAACAAATTATGGATAAAATTGAGAAGAATGGAAATCCCAGAATTGTGCTTATGTGAAAACGATACATAGACCAAGAAGCTATTATCCAAATTAGTAAAGAAATAACTGCATGGTTTAAAATCAGGAGAGGTATGTATTAGGGCTGTAGTCTTTCTCAATACCTCTTTAATCTGTGTGCAGAACACATAATTTAAAAAGCTGGACTTTGTGAAGAAGAATGTGGAATCAGGATCAGAAGACTCATCTGTGCTATGCAGACGGTACAACCTTGCTTGTTAAAAGTGAAAAGGACTTGAAGTACTTGATGCGGAACGTCGAAAACTACCTTCAGTATGGTTTACATCTCAAATCAAGAAAACCAAAATCCTTATCAATGGACCAATGTGCAAAGTCATAATAGAAGGAGAAAAGATTAAAATTATTCAACCTCAGCACACTCCCTTCCTCATTTTTAAACCAAGCAATGTTTTCCTGCCTGATTAGCACAAGAGCCTTCTGGTCCAGGTATGCAAAATCTGTACCTGGACCTTTTAGTTATAGGGCCACTGTAAGTTGTGATTGATTCAGTAGCACATAAAAACAACAAGCACTTGTGGTCAGAATCTTTGGGTGATACAGACTGTTAACATGTTTGATTACTAAATGAAAGGTTGGAGGTTCTTTATTGAACGGTTTTAGTACTTTAGTCAGAGCTGTCTTGGAAGAAAGTCCTGGCAATATATTCCCCCAAAAATTACCGTATGGAGTGCAGTTCAATCTGCGCGCGCGCGCGCGTGTGTGTGTGTGTGTGTGTGTGTGTGTGTGTGTGTCAGAATCAGCTCAGTGATAACTAGTTATACTAGTGTCAGATGAACTCCAGGCCCTGCTGATCTAAGCTGGAGGAGACCCTTCAGGCCCCCTCAACTGGACTGAGCTAGTAATTCAGGAGATTGAGTCTGCTACCTGTTACAAACTTTGTACATGTGAGGCCCCAGATCTGGTAGTGAAAGGATAATAGGGCCTGGTTTAAATCATACTGGTCTTTGGAGATGACATTGGGTAAGTTACTCTTTTCTTGGTGCCTTAGTTTCAACATCTGAAAATTTGGAATAATAACGGTCCCTTCTTGTGGGCTTCTCTGAGGATTAAAAACCAACCTGGTATATATGAATGAAACATACTGTAAAGGTATTATTATATGAAAATCGACAAAAAATATTTTTTTAAAACCCCGACCTGGGCTGATAGGAGGTGATAGTGAAAGTTAGCTATCACAACTTAGTTTATTTCACCTATGCTGAGTTTGAAATGTAGATCTTATATCACACAGAAGGAGTGGAGGTTGGAGGAGAGGGGGTTTCTGAATAGCACCCAGATTAGGATAGAGTTGACCTAGAATGTGATCAGAGTCTCCCTCATGTGGCCAGTGTGAGAAATGTAGTGTCCTGACTCAGCAGGTTAAAATCAAGCAAAGAAAGGGCTGAAAATGCCTTACAGAAAGTGTATTTCTGAAAACAGATTCTTTCTAAAACCAGTGTTTTTTGCCTTCACAGATGGCCAGGATGCACAGGTGGCATGCGAGCCCAGCCAGCCGTCTCAGGAGCAGTCCAACTAATAATAAGCCCAGCCTTCTGGGACCAGCAGGGTGGGGGCTTCTGAGGAAAGCAATGATTTTCTTGTTTAGTGATGTATGGGGAGAAAGGATACTGATAGATAAAAAAGGTTGTATCTAATTTGCATTTCAAGGGGAGAGGAGGAAGAGTGATTTGTAAGGAGGACCAGTTCTCAGGCTCTCTCCTGAGATCAGGGGTAGTTTTCTTGTAGAGACTCAGGAGTAGGCGGCTGGTGGAAGCTCATATTTAGGAATGAATTTTATAGTCCCTGGGTGTGCTGACGACCTTCATCGGATCAACTCCAAAAGGCAGTCTTTGATTTCTGCAGGCCCTGGTGCTGGACAGGCTGTGTCATCTGAAGCTTCCTTTGCCTAGTTCCTGCTGGGGGTGGCATTGTGCTGGGGGCACCACACATGTCAAGCTTCCAGTCCTCCCAGGCAGTCGGTGCACACAGCTGGGACCAAGGTTGCTGACAGCAGGTTCTGCAGCATCCTTCTTTTCTGTCCCAACTCTGGCCCGCTGCCTGGCTACCACCTCTCGCCTCTCCTCCACAGGGTCTACGAGTAAGCCTCCTGATTCTGGAGTAGCTTCACCTGCCTCCATAAAGTTTTATCAGTTTTAGGCATCATTTCTAGTTTTACATTGTTTGACTATTTGATGTTTTTATAGTGATTATCAACTTAGAAAAGTAGGCTGTTTACAAGCACTGATGGAGTTCTCAGAATAGAACGGTGTCCTGAATTACTGTGACGTACGCACTGTCTTCTCTGGGAACAGTTGACTGTTGAAATAAAATGAGCAGTGGAACTTCTGTGGAAGGTTTATTCTCTTTAAGTCTTTTTTTGAAGGCAGCCGGGGTTAGGGTTCCTGGGCTGCTGACCTTTACCTCGGCTGTCTACTTACAGGAGTGCCCCTCACCATTCTTCCATTTACACTGGTAGGTTTATTTTCTTACTGTCAAGCAATAGAAGCCTTCTAAAGAAATTTAATAACATTTTTAAAAGTACAATGCTTTCTTCCATAATCTTTTTCATGATCTCTCTAGAGGGACACAGTTTAAAAAGCACAGTTTGATCCCACTCTACTGTTCAGGATCCTAGATTCTTTTCTTAGTCACAGTGGCCCCTTTATGTTAAAAAAAAAGTCCATCTCTGGTAACTCTGAGCCAGTTGATGACTAGCTTCCCTGAGAAGTATGGAGTCGGTGCTAGGACAGAGGAGGTGATGGTAAAGGAAGGCCCCCTGGAAGTATCCTATCAACTTCAACTTAAAGGACAAGAATGAGGTAAAGATGAGGAGGATGACATTCACAGTGGTGGGCCAGGAGTCTCAGAATCTAAAGGACAGGATCCAGGGGAAGGGGAAGCGTCCTGTTCTCAACCCAGAAAATACGGCATCTCCTGAGGCAGATTCAACAAGGGTATGAGGCTGATCCCATTTCTTGTCTCAACTGAGATTGAGGATGTTTCACCATCCAGAGACAAGCGACAGGACCATCAGCTGGAATGCGATATTCCCACCATTTTTTCAGCATCAGTGTGGTAACCGAGAGTCCACAGCTTGGAGCCATCTCTGTTGGAAGTCAAGAGTGTTTTTCAATTACTACTTTTTAGGAGTGTTTTCAGTAGGACAAAGTCAGGCTTCTCTTAGCCATAAGCCTGGTTTGTGGGTTGCCCAGTATTGGTTTCAGTACACCTGATGGGGTGATTGGGGCCGGTCCTGGCTGTGGACCTGAAGCTAACAACCACCAGAGCACTGGAGTCCAGGAGAGAGCATCCTGGTGGTGGCTCCACCTTGACAGCCTCTTTCCTCGCTGAGCCTTTACCCTTGAGGTGTAGAAGTGGAGCTAGATCAGTGACCCTACTTTTTCATTGCCCTCTGAATTTTATATTAAATACTGTGAATTTTTTTCCCCCCAGCAAGAATATACTTGTAATTTTCTAGTTTTTGGCTAAAGTACAGAAACAGTGAAATGGTCCCTAGGAGCACACAGATCTGAGTACTTTCCACATCTCTCAAACTCATTGCCATTGAGTAGGCACTGGCTCATAGCTGACCCTCCAGTGGGTTTTCAGAGCTTCTAAGTCAGGAGGAGATTGCCCATCTTTCTCCTGGACAGCAGCTGGTGAGTTTGCACTGCCTGTCTAGCTGAGAAGTGCAGCTCCTTAACTGATAGGCCACCAGAGTGCCAGTTTCAGATCAGTGCAAGGAAATGGAATGTTTAGTTGGTCCTTTGAGTTTGATGTGGAAGGTTTGGATATGTTACATGGACCACAGGACTCCAGGAGAGGGAGGATTTCTCAGTTCTCTTGTTAATACTGGATGCAGTAGAATTGAGTTCTACTCATAGTGACCCTGTGAACAATGGATATGAACTTTGCCCAGTCTTCTGTCCTCATCATTTATGATCTGCTTGACTGCCTTCTTAAGAGTCACTGTTAATCTATCTTGTTGAGGACCTTCCTCTCTCTGACCCTCCACTTTCCCAAACTTGATACCTTTTCCAAGGATCAGTCCCTCCTGACAACATGCCAGAAACTCGAGATGAAGCTTCACCATCCTTGCCTCCAAGGAGCACCTGAGCTGCACTTTGTCCAAGGCATATTTGTATTCTTTTGGCAGTCCACTGGATATTCATTACTCTCCTCCAGCACTACAACTCAAACACATTGATTCTTCTGCCATCTTTATCCATTGTCCAACTTACAGATGTATAACAAGTAATTGAAAAGACCATGGCTTGAGTCTGATGCACCTTAGTCTTTAAACTGATACCATTGCTCCATAACACCTTAGTTTCTTGACAACATATTTACCCAATGCAATATGTCTGATTTCTTGACTGGGTACAAGGATCCAAGCAAGATGAAATTGACAAATACTCTCTCCATCTATTATGTTGCTACCAGCCCAGTAGTGAGGACTGTTTTGATGCTGAAATGTATTCTGTTGAAGACTAGTTGATATTCTGCAGCAAGCATTTCAAGGCCTTTTTGCTTTCAGCAGGTGAGGATGTATCATCTGCATAATGCAAGTTGCTGAAGTCTCTGATCCTGATGCCATACTCTTTGTAAAGTCCAGCCACTTGAAGAGTTGAACAGAAGATTTTACAGGACAGCATGACAAAACAAAATCTGCAAAGAGCTGTAGTTAGAAAATAAAAGTGGAAGAACACATTTCTCAAGCTAAACTGGAGTTGCAATTCTGACAGATGCTATGAGCAAAATCGTCAATGATCCAAGAAGCACAAGAAGCATCAAAATAGGGACTACATAGTCACTGTACCCAAAAAGACTTGACAGAATCAGGAAGTAACATGATTAGGAACCAGTGATGATGAAGGAATAGTTTTAAGCTGCATTGAAGCATTAGCAAAATAAGGCCCAGGAATTTATGGGACACCAATTGAAGTGTTTCAACAAACTGATGGCAGCCTTGGATGTGCTCACTAGTCTATACTGAGAAATTTGGATGATGACTACCTGGCCAACTGACTGGAAGAGATCCATATTTGTTCGCATTCTCAGTAAAGGTGATCCAACAGAATGTGGAAATTATCAAACTATCACATGCAAGTAAAATCTTCCTGAAGATGGTCCAGAAACTGCTAGAACACTACACCAATTGAGAACTTCCAGAATTCAAGCTGGATTTAGAAGAGACTGAGATGATAACTGGTAGAGCCAGATGGATCATGGCTGAAAGTAGAGAATACCAGGAGGTGGTCTATTTGTGTTTTATTGACTATGAAAATGTGTTTCACTGTATAGATTAGAACAAATTATGGCTAACATTGAGAATAATGAAAATTACAGAATTGTGCTTATGTGATACCTGTACTTAGGCCAAGAAGGTGTCACCTGAACAAAGAAGGGAACACCACATGGCTTAAAGTGCATCAGGACTGTTTTTTTTTGGGGGGGAAGGGTGAAAAGACAGTAATGATGGGCAAGAGCCAATGATGATCAGTTTTATAAAACAATGCATGAGAATGATTGTATGAAGCACAGTGTAAAGAATAGTGTGAAACACAATGTACATGAACTTTGTAAGCAAACCAATAAAAACAGCCGAAGAAAAGAATATTCTGTGCACACCCATGTTTATCGCAGCTTTGTGCACAATAGCAAGGTGTTGGAAACAACCTAAGTGCCCATAAACAAATGAATGGATAGAGAAGCTGTGGTATACTCACACAATGGAACACTAGCTACTTTGAAAAATGGGACTCATGCAATATTATTAACAATGGGTGACCCTGGAGGGCATAATGCTAAGTAAAGTATCTCAGTCACAAAAGGACAAATACTGCATGGTGCCACTGTTGTAAAACAGGACTGATCTGGGGTTGAGGGAAGACTGAGAAAGATCGGTTCAGTAATGTATACTGCATTGAAACAGATGAGGGAGAAACCTGTTTAACAGGGACATGTGATTAGGTATTTTTGTCCCGACAGGAATCCAGAGCAAAGGCTGCATAGTGGAGTGGACCTGGGGGAGCGATTGTAAAACAATGAAAGAATTTTACTTTTCCAAGAGGGTAGTGTACTGGTGGGGGGAGGGTTGTGAGGGGAAAAAAGTGCAACAATGAATGAATGGGAATTTAAAAAAAGAAAAAAAGACTATTTCTATATACATACTCAATTCTGCAGAGACTTGTCTGCATCTTTCCTGTAGCTTTAGGGGTTTCTATTGGGGTGAAAAGACTGACTGTGGGGCAGCAACCTGCCTCAATGTTGCTATTTTGTCTGCTGGCTTACAGAATGGGAGGCCTACATTACTTTTCTCTGGTATAAACTCTAGGAGAGCTCCAGCCTCTGGGCACTTGCTGTGGTTGCCCTGGTGAGGCTATTGGATCCCATTCCCTGTACTAGCCAATCTAGTCCCTTTCTCCCTGAATGCTTGGCCTCTTCAGTATGTTCACTGGAAGTTCCATGAGCACCAAAAAACCAAGTTTTGCTTTTGTCACTGTGTACTCAGATACTTTGATGGCTCCTCATTGACAGCATGAAGACCAACATCTTTAATAGGATCTTCCTACTGTGCAGCCTCCTTGCCCTTTCACAGACCCAGCCCAGGGGCAGCAAAAGTTAAAATCAGCTATGCAGCTGCATTGGTTCTTCTGTTACTCATTGTCCCATTCTCAGCTGCATAGCAGGTGACTGGAAAGGATGTTGCTTTATTTAAGGAGCACCTTACTCTTTAAACTGACAGCATTGCTCTTCAGAACTTTGACAGCAAACTTTACCAATCATACGTCTCGATTTCCTGAGTGTACCAAGGGTGTTGACTGGATTCCAGCAAGATAAAATAATTGACAATTCCAATATTTTCCCATCTGTCATGATGTCTATCTACTCTGGTGAAGATCTTTGTTTTCTTGATGTTGAAATGTAATCGATAGTGAAGGCTGCAGACCTTGATCCTCTACAGCAAGTATATCAGGTCCGCCTGACTTTAAGTGAGTAAGACAGTGCTATCTGCATATTGCAGATTATTGATGAGTCTTCTTCCAATCTTGATGCCATGCTCTTCTTGGTAAAGTTAAGCTTTTGTAAACATTTTCTC